ATCCAAAACACCTACTTCATAAACATACTTCGAAAGGTACTTTCTCAGTTGGACTTCAGAAGTTTCTGGAAGTTGAAAGAGGTTGAACTACAAGCGCAGGAAGAGCATAAGACTTTGGAGTAGGTTCTTGGAATTTCACTTGGAAGAGACAATTGCAAAAGATCTTGGAACAGGTCTTGGAGCAGACCTTGGAGTTAGCAGGAAATAGATTGGAAAGTCTAGTAGAATTGTCTAGGCAGCATCTTATTGTAACTCACGCGGTATTGTCTATAGTGGAGGTAAGTGGCTTGGTCACTGAGTTTTTACCTAGTTGGGTTTCTCCGTCTTCAATATTGGTGTTATTTATTGCTTTCTTATTACAAAATGCGGCAATTCAACTTAGGATAATTGAATTGTTTGTTTAATCATCTAGAAACAATTAAAATGACTTGTTGCTTGTTAATTGTATAATTCCGCACGTAAGGTCAAACTTAGTTAGTAAACTACGTAATTTCAACCTTGACACCAGCCCACCAATCGATGAGCCAAACAAGCTCCAGCCACAAAAGTTCCCCCACCACTTTTTTACCCTGCGGTATGTGTTCTTCGACAATGACCTTATAAGTACAAAACATACTGCCTGCAAAATCCATCACGTGTTCGTTATACAAGAAGCTAAGCAAGAACAAAAATACTTAAAATGAAAGGAACCAAAAATTGAAAACCCCAAAAACCTGTTAACTAAATAGCTCGAATTGAACAAGAAATCGTTATATAATTAGCTTCTGAATGACCTCAAAATGAAGAAAAATTAGTTTTTTGTTTCAATTTTTTGTGTAAATATGCAAACCTGAATAAAATTGACGACGAGGCCTCAAAGGAAGAAGAGAACACCCAACGGCAGAATAACAGCTGCAGCTGCAATCGCCATAATCCCAGTCCAGATAGCACCTATTCAAACTACGATTTATAAATAGCACATGCAACAAATCTATGCATACTCATATGTAAATACAGAAAAGAGACTCTAATTGATATAGATATTCTTTTGAAGAGCGAGAAACAAAGCGTAGTAGATTCAGTAATTACGTATATAATAGATACGTATAACGTAAATCTATTGGAGCTCGCATATATAATATAGTACTAATATACACAATATCAAATTGTAAATAGCACATTTCATTAGTTATTTTTTGTTGGACTGGAGCAGAGACTAATACATAGACACAGAAAAGTAATGGAGAATTGGAGAGGGAGAGGGAGAGGGGGAGGGGGAGGGGGAGGAGGAGGAGAGCTCCGGGGTGATGGTGATGGTGACCGTGCTCGTGCGTTACAGTCGAGATTTTCGTTTTCGAGGTGTACCCGTAGAAGAAAACACGTTGCACTTCTCATTTTCAATTTTTGCGAATTGTTATTAATTTGTCAACTTTTTTTTTTTTCATTAATGGGTTCACGTTGTATCAAGCCAACGATTTAAAAAGGTAGTTTCAGTTCAATTTAACGTTTTTTTGCTTGTAGCCCTAATTTTTTATTCTTTTTTTTTTCCTCTCTCTTTTGCAATCATTTAGTTGTGTTTGACACCCATTTTAAAGAAGAATTTGATTTGAAATAGTGATTGATGAAAGAATTTGTGGTTAAAAAGTAAGAAGAATTTTTGGGTTTATGTGTAATATTATTTTAATAATAGAATGTGTGGTTGAAATGAAGAAAGAAAAAAAAATGAGAATGAGAAAAAATGAATGTCCAACAAAGGCTTAGACATTTCGCTGTTCTTTCTCCCCCCTGATAGTAATACTATCTATTATGTCTGAGGCAGTTCTTTTCATAGGATTAGTGTAGTTAACATGCGTTGCACGTTAGTTATTTAATGTTGAAAATAAATATATGTAAATTTTAGAGACATTCATTTGTAAACATGAAAGATATTCATAAGTTAATTCGAATGAACTCACTTGTCGTCTATATTCTTTGTATCTTTTCGATTC